CATCAGTAGCATAATGATTATCCTCCTCCTCATCCTCGTCCTCATACTCCTCATTATCACCATAAACATCATCGTCATCTTCATCATAATCATCATATTTATTATCATCAGCATCATCATCATCATCATCATCATCATCATCATCATCATCAATATCGTAATGATCATCATCAAAATCAACCAATAGTCGTCACACATTCATTTACTCTCATAATTATCGTTATTATGATGTAGATGCTCTTACACATATAAGAATGAACGTCATAAAAAAAAAAAAATTTGTAAAGAGGTCACTACTAAAATAACTATGTAGTTACATATGTTTGACTAGATCGTTAATATGGAGAACAATGTTATTAGTGACAACCACATGATCGAAACATAAACAATTTTAATGCGTAAATGACTTCTGAAATCATTGGGTACATAACAGTAGTTCGAATCAAGATATGGATTGATTTATATTCGTACGATAAGTTCAGGCCTATGTGTCGGTTCGTGCCCTAGATATAAATCAGCGTCAACGTAGCACGTCCAAAGATTTCGGTAATTATTGACAAAAGCGCACTTAACACCGATTGCACACAGAGCCTCTTATTGGCATTTAAGTGTGGACTTTGGTTTCAGGGCAAAGGTAAGGCAACGCCTTGACATTTACAATCATAGGGGGTACCGAGAACCTCTCACACTGTGATTTGGCCTACATACACATCGACAGGTATGGATGGGTGTTGGGTATTCGTTTGTTTTCTGGCTACCATTAGCCTTTCAGTGGAAGGAGCTGAAGTGTGGGAGAATTTAAGACTTCCATCGATCATTAAACCAAACCACTATGATTTGACGCTGCATCCAAATTTGACAACTGATACATTCACTGGGGTAGTTGATATAGATGTCACCGTGACGGAACCAACTGATACATTCTTGGTTCATATCAAGGAACTGACCATTAAGAACCCTAAAGTTATGTTGAAAGAGACATCCGCTGAACAGGCCATAAGCAAAGATTTCTCTTACGAGGATAATGAATTTTACGTCATTATTACCACATCTGAAGTGGCTCCCGGAGATTATCTTCTGCATTATGAATTTTCTGGGTCTCTTGTTGGCAGCATCGTCGGATTCTACAAAAGCACATACTACAACAAAGATGGCAAACTAATGTGAGTGTTTGTTATTTTTTTCAGTATACTTAATATAAGTAAAATGAAACAACTCATTTAGTTGGTGCAGAGGTGGTCTGGAGTATACAGTGAGACTTCTTTCACCATCTACATGGGAACAAAATGGAGAATATCAAAGATAACCAAGAGTCTTCGTCTCTTCAAATATCTTTAAAATTTCACAAACCAAATTTAATCTCGTAATCTTGATTTTCTGACAGCCTGGTTTATTATTATTAAAGTAAAGAGAGAAAAAAATAGGGATCTTCCTTTTTGGGTCTCCGGTCTTCGTTTTATAGACACAGATATGTTGGTACTGATAATTTCTTGTCCGTTTCCTTTCGTTGTTGTCAAGGGCCTCGAGGTTGGTTAAAATTGCAAGTTATTATTATTATTATTATTATTATTATTAATATTATTATTATTATTATTATTATTATTATTATTATTAGTGTTGTTATTATTATTATTACTAATATTACTTTATGAATGATTTTGGATGTATATAAACGTTACAATGGTATATAATTTATTATAATTGTTAGATAATTAGATTTGATAAATTGTTATTATATTTATATAGGTAACATTTTAAATACAGTCTACTTCCTTTGGTCTTCGATCTGTGCCTTATGTACTGTAGGTGTGACTATAATACAGTACAATATTATACTGTTGAACAACAATAACTTTCTATTTTTTAACATTGTGTAAAATAAGAACAAAATAAGTACATTGAGCCTGAAATTTGGGGAAAAAAGAACACTGAGCTGAGCAAAATTTTACTGGTTCCTTATAACAAAAAAATGTTGGGACATTATTCACATCAGAAACAAGGGACCCAGCAGCATCTGTTGCTGTAAGTATTTCTGTTATTTCGATCTGTATTAGCTATCAACTTTTATTTTACAACAACATGTGATATGCCTAAATTTGGTCATGATGACATCACACAGCAGCATTTTTTTTTCTTTTTTTTGTCGAATAGTGACTTTAACAAAAAAAAACTTCATTTGACATTTTACCTCGGTCTCAATTTGTTCTTATTTTGTTCTTATTTTATAAGCAATTTCAACCCCGGTGTTCTTATAAATTTGTATTCCATTAGGCCTACCGGTAACAAATTTATTGAATATTTTAGTGCTACGTATGGCAACGTGGTAATACAATAAATTTACCTAACTCTCATTTATCTGTAGGAGTATGGCGACGAGCAAATTCGAACCTACCGATGCCAGACGTGCGTTCCCATGTTTTGACGAGCCAAATCTTAAAGCTAATTATACAACCACTCTTGTTCATACTGATGAATATTTTGCCTTATCCAACATGGATGTTGATGTAAGAAATGAATATTAAATCTTGAAAAATATAATCCCATTAGACAAAATAGTATGATAACAATAATATTCAGGTAAGGTATCAGTGGCGTAACGACGAGTTGTGGGGCACAGGGCGAAAAGGTTTTGGAGCTTATGAAAGTTCAGTAAAGTATTCGCTAACCTAAGAACATTATTAATATTAAAGCAACAAGGACTGCATTAAAGGCAATGTTTATATCGTTAAGGAATAGAATTGTGTGACAATAAATCACATTATCAACTTTTATTTTCACACACTTTTAGCCTCTTTTAGCTTAGGGCCATGGGGCTTCGTCCCCGAGAATTACACATACCGTTCGTTACGCCACTGGACGGAGTTGTTGCACATATTGTTGAACGTTATTTTAAAGCTTCAAAACTATGGAATTCACAGAATTTGATTAATTTTTGTAATATGGAATTATTTAATCTAACAAAAATCAGACTCTACATCTAATTAGTACCGTAGTTTTTAATTCATCTGAAATCGACATTATAGTGACAAAAACTTTTAAGTGCTGCTGTTTATACGAATATTACAATTAATTATTATTCAATTATTGTTAATTGTATTAAATGAGTTTGCTTTTGATTAATTTCAGACCAAGGAAACCATAGATGGCCTTATTTACACCAAGTTCAACCCTTCTGTCAAAATGAGCACTTACTTGGCTTGCTTTATCGTCTGTAACTTTAGCAGTGTTGAAGGTCAAACAGCAAGAGGTGTTCCGGTAATAATTATTGTTTTTTTTTTAATAATTGTATTCAATTATGAACTACATCGTTATGGTATTATTCTAAAATAAAAATGTGTTTAAGACACAGCTTATGTCATCAACAACAGATAATATTCATTAAGTATTCTGTATATATACACCAGATATACAGTATTACTTGTAGTTGGAAGTTATGTCATTTCCATGAACTATAATATACTTAGAGTAACTAACTTAGGCGCAGCTGCTGTATATACTATACACATAAAGTACTAATGTATATAGTTAAATAATAAGTACGTTTCAACTTATTAAATAACTTATTAAACATATAGGCATACTCAAGTAACTCCTTCTTAAAAAAATAAAGATTATAATCAAACACTCAAATTGATAAGTTATTAGTCTTAAATGGTGCTCATGTTCTGGTTCTCGAGAGTAAAGCCGACTTGTTATATTACTTATGCGCTTGTTAGAGTGCGATACTTTGTTTTGGTCGTTAATTTTAAATAGAGAATTAAATTTACTCAATGCAGCAACTAATACACATGAAAACAATTCCCATATTCTTTGCACAGGGCTAACCATACCTTTCTGGCAGCAAATTTTATATCGATTTTATGACTTGTTCAGAATTAGTAACTAGCCTATATTATTTTATCTTAAAGTTAAACAAAGGTATAGGAAATGCATCTATAATTGATAAAAGACTACTGATGCTTAGACCTATATATTGATATTTCTGTTAATTTCAGTTCAAAGTTTATGCACCACACGATTCTATATACCAGGCTGATTACGCCTTAAGTATTGGTATAAACGTAACTGACTACTATGAAGATTACTTCGATATACCGTACCCGTTACCTAAACTAGGTATGTGTAATATACTTCTTCCGAAATCGTCTGATGCCCACACACTGTTGCGGCAGAGCCAATTGTGTGCTTGACCATGTCAATTCATGGCAGTGGACACGCAAAAAGAGGTCAGGGGGAACCTCCTTTCAGATACTTTTTGAAACCTATGTCATCCGAAGCCACGACGAGGCCGTCGGACTAAATTTATTAATTTACCAAATTACTTTATTTTGACTGCCAATCCCTAATATTTTGGTCTAAAAGCAGAATTATGGGCCAAACATATCATTTCTCCCAATCAACTTCACTGGGAATTTTAATCAAGGATAATGACAGAGGTTCCTGGGAAACCCATTAGTTTAAAACCCCTGTCTGACTTGTTGGACTAACTAAAATTCTGGAGCAAAGACTGGTTAATGGTTTTGTCCATTCATTGTGCTTCAGACTATTATGTCTTCAGCTTATATGAATATATACACATTTATATATGTGTATATATATATTTATATATAGGCCTATGTATTACAAAATTAACCGTCATTATTATTA